AAGAATTCACCCATTTTTCGGGATACTAGGTTTGAATCCACAGACTACTGTTCTATGTGCTTTCGTTTAGCACCACTTCACTCTATCACCTTTCTCTTTGTTCTATATCGCTCTCCTTCATCTCAAGACTGTACTCTTCTTGATATTATTTCTGATCATATTGACCAAGCTCTCTCTCTTTATCCATCAGCCAATATTGCTGTTGTCAGTGACTTTAATGTTCATCACACTGAATGGCTTGGCTCTAGTGTCAGTGACTCTGCAGGCATTAAGGCCCACAACTTTTGCCTTTCTGAAACCCTAACTCAAATAGTCAGCTTTCCAACTCGCTTTCCAGACAACCTGAATCATTTACCTTTTCTACTTGACTTATGTCTTGTTTCTGATCCTAGTCAGTGCTCAGTTTCTCCACACTCACCCTTAGGTGCTTCTGATCATGGTTTGATCTCTCTAAAACTATTATCTCATTCTTCTTTACCATCAGAATCCCCCTATCATTGTACATCTTACAACTACCTTAAAGCTGACTAGGACTCTTTCCGTGATTTTCTTTGTGATGGCCCCTGGGTAGAAATCTTTTGTCTTCCTGTTGACAAATGTGTTTATTACATAACTTTATGGATTCATGCTGGCATGGAATCCTTTATTCCCTCTCGACGATTCCAGGTCAAGCCTCACTCTTCTCCATGGTTTTCCTCACATTGTGCTGCTGCAATTGCTAATCGAAATCATTACTTCCATATCTATCAGCAAACAATTCTCCAGAAAACAGACGTCTGTTTATTACTGCTAGGAGCAATTGTAAAAAGGTTTTGTCTAACGCCAAAGCCCGCTATTCTCAGATCATGAAATCTCGTATTTCATCACAAAAATTAGGCTTTCATGACTTCTGGAGAATCTTTAATAGCATCAATAATAAGGGCAAGTCTATAATTCCACCTCTTTTGTATGGTTCAGACTTTGTCACCTCACCTAAAGACAAAGCTGAATTGTTTGCCAAGAACTTTTCACCAATATCATTTCTTGATTCCACTAGTTGCGTTCTACCTGATATAGCCGTCAAACAGGTGTATCCACTGCTCGACTTTCGTATCACTCCAGCCTCTGTATCTAAAGTGATTTCCTGCTTAGACTCTTCTACAGCTTGCGGCCCGGACAACATACCTGTTATAGTCTTGCAGAAGTATTCTCCGGAGCTGTCGTCTATCCTTTCAAAACTATCTAACAAGTGCTTATTAGAGTCTTGTTTTCCAGCCTGCTGGAAAGCAGCATCTGTTATCCCTATTTTTAAAAATTCTGGAGAGCGATCTGATTCGTCTAACTACCATCCCATTAGTCTTCTTCCTATCATAAGCAAGGTTTTTGAATCTTTAATTAACAAACACTTAATCTCTCATCTTGAATCTCATAACCTACTTTCTGATCATCAATATGGATTTCGATCTTCTCGTTCTATGGGTGAATTGCTATCAGTAATAACCGATAGGTTTTATCATGCATTAGATAAAGGTGGAGAGGTTGAGGCCATCGCTCTTGACATTTCTAAGGCGTTTGATAAAGTTTGGCATGCTGGTCTTCTCCATAAGCTTTCTTTTTAAACATCTTTAAGATTATCGAATCCTTCCTTTTCAATCGTAGTATAAAAGAAGTCCTTGATGGACAGCACTCTTCTTTTTATTCTGTAACCTCAGGGGTTCCTCAAGGTTCAATCTTTGAATCCTTTGGCCCTATACTCTTTTTAATTTACATTAACGATCTTCCAGATTTTCTCACATCTAAGGTGGCATTGTTCGCTGATGATGCTACTATTTATTCTTGTCACAATAAGAAACCAACTCCCTCTGATTGCTTGCAGGGGGCATAAGAGCTCAAAAAGGATTTCACTTCTGCTACAGCATGGGGCTCACAGTGGCTGGTGAACTTTAATTCAGATAAAACTATATTTTTTTAAGCCAATCGTTATTGCAATAATTTAGACCTTCCTAAATTTATGAACGGTAATGTACTCGATGAGTCTCCTACCCTTCATCTTCTAGGATTAACTCCTACTTATGATCTTTCTTATATCAAAAACCTTATATCAAATCCGTTGCAAAATTAGCATCTGCTAATTTTGCAAGTTGCTTCTCTTTATCAAGCTCGCCACTTTCTTACTCTGGATTCTATTCTCTATCTCTATAAATCTCAAGTCCGGCCTTGTATGGAATACTGTTGCCATATCTGGGGCGGATCTTCTAATGATGCCCTTTCTCTTTTAGACAAGGTGCAAAAACGCATTGTAAACATAGTTGGACCTGCTCTTGCAGCCAACCTTCAACCTCTGTCACATCGTCATAATGTTGCTTCTCTTTCTCTTTTCTACAAATACTATAATGGGCACTGCTCTAAAGAGCTAGCGTCTCTTGTGCCGTTTACAAAAATTCATTCTCGTGTTACTCGTCATTTAATTAAGCCTCATCCTTTTTCTGTTACTGTTCCTAAGTGCTCCAAAAACTCTAATTCGTCTAGTTTTTTTCCTCGAACATCAGTTCTTTGGAATTCACTTCCTTCATCTCGCTTTCCTGATTTATATAATTTGCAATCTTTTAAGTCGTCTGTCAATCGTTATCTTGCTCTACAATCTTCATCTTTTCTATTCCAGTAACTTCCAA